TATGAAAAGGGAAAATCATAATAAACACAAATATCACTTTGTTTAATTGCTTGCAAATGGCATTCTTCCTTATTAACATATAGTCAGGCTTATTTAAGGCCTAAGTTTCAAGAATTACTGAGGAAAAACAGAAAATGAGAAAGTAAAGATTATAATTAAGATTTTTATACAATTTGGTTATGCCACTGATTTTTGATAAGTATAAATGAGAATATAAAAGATAAGTAAATGATTCTGACAATAAACAGCAAGCCTTTCCTAGGTGTTAATTCATTCGGAATTAATTCTTCCAAATTTATTGAGCATTAAACAAGGAGACCTATGATGAAATATGAGATCCTATTTAAAGCATAAGACTATGGTTTTAAGCACACTCTAAAACTAAAATTTCAGAATTACATTCAGTTTTTTAATACCCAATTAACCTCAATGTTTTACTGGGATAATAATACAGATGTGGGATTGTGGAACTTCTTCTTGTTTATGACATAGGGCCCCATAAGTAGCCATGATAAGTATCTCAAAAGTCTCTGTGACTAAAATTTAAATGCAGAACACTAACAAACAAATAAACAGAATAAAAAACACAAAGCTAGCTCTACCAGTTAAGATTATTCTTTTTCCGGTTTCTGAATTTATCCTCCTTTCATTTTTATCCTTCAGCTATAGAATGATGGCACAAGGCACATGAGAAAGGAAAATATTAGCTTTTAGCCATTGCTTTATCAAAAATAAAAGATATTTTTGTAACATAAGAAAAAGCAATCTATAGCTTAAAAACAGCCAGGTTGGCTAAGATTTTTAAAGGATAAATTATATTACTGAAATCAACCTATACTTTGTTAACTACTTATAAAAGTAGTTTAAATATAGTCTGTTAAATATCAATGTAATGTTATTGATAAATAAAATATAATTATCCTCATGATATTGTGGGAAAGAGTATTACCTTTTCAGTGAACCAAATTACTACAGAATTATTATTAATGTTATAAACAAAGTCTATATCAAAACTTCATATTTTATTTATACTACCATAAAGATTTTTATTCTATATATCACATACTGTAGTTCTTCCTGAGATAATAAAACAAACTCACAAAGATGGTGCATAATTTACATCCTTTACCCACTTTTTTGATAGAAAGTCATGGAAAATATCATCATGTTATCAAGATATATGAATATATAACACACCTAAAGTCACACACTTTTTTCACCTATAAAAGAAAAATAATATTCTGCTAAAGAACATAGTAATTATAGATTAAATAATAGAAAATTTTGACCTGGAGAATGATTCTGAGACTTGTTTAAGAAAGTTCTTGCTTTTTCTTCAAGGAGTCTGACCTCTTGGGATGTTGTACTTTCTTTAACCACTTCTCAACAACAATCTCATTCCTCTCTTTCAGCTTTATTCTAAGAAAAGAAATTTGGAGGAAGAAATCTTGAGTCCACCAATCTCCTCCAATGTTATGAAGGTCATGAAAATTAGAATCCTAGACTTACTGGGGGAAACTGGATATTATCTGGTCAAATTCATAAAGCCTGGAACTTCATCAATTCACAAAAATGTTTGTCAAATTGATTTTTCTACCTAAAGTTTTAAAATATTTAGATTTAGTTTTTATTGTGCTTGAGCCAGTGTATATATAAAATATTTCTCTTTTGCATTTATTGTATTAGAAATAATTTGATTTAAAATTCTATCAGTGAGTCAGCATTAGAATTACCACATGGGTTGGTCTAATCGCTGAACTACATATATCCCTGTGAGTGGAATTAGTAGGAAGCTAGGCTTATAGAGAAAGAAAAAGGTAGGGTACAAGAGAAATTGATATTTGCTTTGCTGAAACTACTTACATACATTTTTGAGGAAAATGGTACAATGAGAATAAAATCTGGAAAAATATTCAAATTATTATATTTTTAGAATTGACTATACATTTCTAACAGAAATCAATGCATTCTATTGGTAGACAACAGAATTATTTTACTTAGAAAATGAAGAGTAACTGAAATTCTTTTCCATAACTATTCAGTTTGTGTGGTAATTTTTTTAATATTGCAAAAATAGTATCATGACTATACTATAATTGAGGCCATACACATAAAAACTGAAAGAATAAGAAAAGAAATAGACAAAGAGGGTTAGAACAGCTACTTTATGTATACACAATTAAACTTAGAGTCTTTAGAAATAAATTTTAATTTCTACATTGCCTCATTCAAGTATGTCTTCAAACTCTACATAAAGGTAAATTTATTCTTACATAATGGAAGAGTTTCTGAACACGGGATACACTTTCTGTGTTGTGTTTTGTAACATATCTCTCAACAGTATCATAATTCAGCCTTATCTAATATCACACAGATACCCAGAATAAAAAAACATCATGAGATTTCTCCCATATCACTGTATTTGTAACGTAAGTGATACCAATAATTACACTCACTAGCATGACAATAATAGATTCAATATACAATTGCCTACCATTTGTAGACACTGACATCACCATAATGCTTATAACAGCATTCAAAATGTGTCATTATCCCCATTTTAGACATGAGAAAACTGAGGGTCCAAAAGATTAACTATTCTGCTGGTACCCAACAAACTACTAAGTAGCTCCTTGTGCCTTTGTTTCAAATATGAATACATTATCTCCTTTCACACAGCCCTAGTCTTCTTTTGTACCATGTTCATTAAAATATGCAAACCAGTAAAAATACATAAGTCATCAAAAATACACTCAAAGGACCAGGATGTTAAATAGTCTTTAAGTTAAATCCTCATTGGAATAAATGTATTTCTGTGCCCAATAAGCTGTTGTGTCATTAACTTAATAATTTGCTGCATTTAAAACTCAGCTTAACATTTTTTTCTTTCCCCCTCCTCCTCTTGCTATTTTTCTCTCATTTGGCAAATATCAATATAACATTACAATCAGTTTGGAAGGGTAACTGAAAATCCTAGCACACTATATTCTTTATTTCCTGCAGGAAAGCACGCAGTGAAATGCAAACAGTATTTGTACTTCATATAATCAAATGATTACTTTGCTCCATAGGCAGGAATTATGTAGCTATTGTGTCTGACAGTGGGCACTGGTATATAGTCTTTGTGCAGTTAATTTACCTTTTTTTTTTTGAGACAGAGTCTCACTCTGTTGCCCAGGCTAGAGTGCAGTGGCCTGGTCTCGGCTCACTGCAGCCTCCACCTCCGGGTTCAAGTGATTCTCCTGCCACAGCCTCCCAACTAGCTGGGACTACAGGCACACACCACCATGCCTGTCTAATTTTTGTATATTTAGTAGAGATGGGGTTTCACCATGTTGGATGGGATGATCTCGATCTCTTGACCTCGTGATCCACCCGCCTCGGCCTCCCAAAGTGCTGGGATTACAGGCATGAGCCACCACGCCCGACTCTTAATTTACATTTTGACATTTCTACTAAGAACTTTTTATATCAAAGACTGAATGCAAAAGGAAGTTCCATCTGGCTGAAGAGTTCTCAACTTTAAGAAAATTAGGATATGGAAAATCTACCAAGGTTAGGCCTGTTTCCATAGGCCTATAGTTTCTGCAGTTCCAACATAACAGGAGTGAATTAGCACGAATATTTAAGTGGACGGTTTTTGCTTCTGAATTAGTTCTATATCCATACACGTATTTCTTTTATTTAATCTTGAATCCATTTGCTAATAGCACCCCTCTATAACTGTTATATTTCTAATTATCACAAAACATTATCCAGTTGTAGCAATTAATAGATATGTAATGACAAACTTTTGTGATGTAAAGCGAAACAATTTTTACAAATAAAATTATATTTTTAGAAAATTCATATATGCTAAAATGTTTCCCTTTTGGTTTCATCAAAACAAATATTAAAAAACATATACCTACAAATTAAGTACACAGAATCCAAATTCATGTTTTTAAAGCTCATATTTCAAATGTATTATTTTTGCATAATTTAATTAGAAATATTGGAAACATACATTTGCATTTAAAGATGATTAATTTCTCATTAAAATAACAACACCTCAGTCCTCAAAGCTGTAATTTACTTTCCTCTTTCTCTCTTTCTCATTCTCTATCTCTTTATATATATATGTATGTATAGATAAAGAGATAGGTCATGTTTATATTAAGCAATTTATCCACAGAACCAATACAGTGTTATAAAAATAATTCAGAATCTACATGCATATCAAAACTTTACATTACAAATTACTTATTTGCCTTCTTATAAAAACTGAGTCAAGTAATCACATCTTGTATTTTGATATAAATTTCTAAGTTAAAATATTTATTTGAGATGAGAAAAAAGTAACACTTCACCATTAATTTATGTTAATAACACATAAAGCCCATAAATCTTAAAATACAGATAATTTCAACATCAAATGTAAAAGTAATTGATAAATGTGAATATTTATTATACTCAACTCATGTAATTTCTAATTTATATGAGCAGATACAATTTATTAGAAAATGTTTCCCCTAGAAAAGAGACATAGACCTAAAAATGTTATATCATCTCACGTTTCCGTAAGTTTATTTATTATAATTTAACATATGCTATGAAAATATTTCTTAGAAAAATGGTGCATTTCATAATTCAAGAGTAATGATCAGCAAAATAAATGTAATTCAATCTCATAATAATATATTGACAAGAGTAATAACTACTAAATAGAGGAAACATGAGTAGCTTATGACACGTCAAATCATGTACAAGAAAACTGGGCTGTAATGGGATGTTGAGTTATATATCAGAGAAATAACATACTGCTACTTTTCTCAATTAAAACAAGCACAGTAGGCCAGAATGGTCTCAATCGCTTGACCTCGTGATCCGCCCGCCTTGGCATCCCAAAGTGCCCTCCAGCCTGGTGACAGAGTGAGACTCCGTCTCAAAACAACAACAACAACAAAACAACAACAAAAACACCAAGCATAGTAGGGGCAATCTTTACCCAAAACACTCACCTATGGTCAGCTGTCCAGTTAACTGCCCCATGTGATTTCTTGCATTCACTGTTACATTCCTGTCAGACTGTAAGACCAGTGGACTATCCTGGGAAACATGTATAAAATAAATAAATCAAATAGAAAACAGAAATATAGTCAAATTTACATAAAATTATACTGCATTTGTTTACATATTCTCAAAAATTTAATTTGTTTGCTTTATATTAGACAGTTAATTTAATATCCCAATCATTGGTGGACAGTGTAAAAAACTGAGAGTCTCATAATAATTACTTGACAGCATATTTCATTTTCGTAAGTGGTACTATCAGAGGCAAGCATTTCCAAGTCTACTGATTGTTGTACATCAAGGTGTAGTAACCCTTTTCCTCTTTCTCTCCCAGTGTCCTCTATGCCTGCCTGTGCAGATATTCCAGATACCATCCCAAAGGCAAAAGTCCCTTTTTAAGCTTAAGTTGCAACTTTCAGATCTCAGCTTAAACGCCACCTTCTCAAAATTGGCTCGTCTAATCAGCGTAACTACTGAGTTTTTCAATCCTCAAACTCCCACTCTCCATTTAGTTTGTTTAAAGCACTTATCACAAAGCAATTTAACTGTATGTGTCTATTTGGGACTTTTTTTTTTAACTTAATTTTGTCACAAAAGGAAAGATCCAGGAGAAGGAACCATGACAGCCATGTCTATGCAGTTATGTGACTATTACTCAGCATGTTGCTGAAGGAAGGAATTTTTATCTACTCAGTAGATAAAAAATCTTCAGAGTAAAATTGATATTATAGTACCATATTATTCAATCTCATGGAAATGCTCTGTAAATCATACAAGGATTTCGCAAGGAAGTATATAGAATATAAGATTTTTGTAAGTTCTGCTTTAGGACATATACCTCTGGTTACATGTTGACTTTTATCAGTAATTTAGCATTTAACAGTAAAAACAGTTTATTGAAGGACAACAACACTGCCTTAACAGCTCACATACTAGGCTTTTGTCATACCTCCCTCAGACAAGTAACATTCAAATCCCTACATTCTCATTTTACTGATCTAAAACCTAAGTTGGGTGATCGTTTACAAATCTGTATTAATTTATTCAGTAAATATTCATTGCATACTATGTACAATATAATGTTCTAGAGGTGGGGACATTTTGGTGATCAAAATATAGAAAAATACTTGCTCCCTTAGTGCTTGCATTGTGGATGTTGAAATACTGCGAAAGTCTCCATCAATATCATCCTCACCATCCAGGCAGTATGTCATGTCTATGTCAATGTCAATTATCAAGCGCTTTCATATGTAAGCTATATTAAAACTCTCAATATTAGGATTTGGAATTTGTGATTTTATATACATATGGTTTATTTCTGCAGTTTTAAAAGAAAAAAGTCTAGTTTTCTTTTCCATAGGTGTAACTATGCTGCAGACATTTATCTCCTAAGAAATCTAAAATATTTCAAATTAATTACATCATCTTAATCAAGTGATACATCCAAATCCTGTTTAAAGAAGAGTTCATGGACTAAAGACGGTTTGCAAACAGCTCTCTTATACCCAAGAAGAATACTGCTGTCTCTTGATAATGACATAAAGATGATGGTTCATACGTGAACACACACACACACACAAAATTCTATTCAATCTTGGCAAAATTCAACCTAAGTATGTTAAAAAGGAGCTTTGAATGAAATACAATTGAATATTTGAATGTAAGAAACAGGAGAAGTCTATGAAACATCTTGCAGTTCAAACAACTGTGAAAAAACTCTAGGTCGAAATTATGTTCACTTTCTCTCAATATTTGTATGATATAGCATATATGAGTTTGGTTTAGAGTTTTAAAATATACGACATTATATGTTTTTGAGTTACTAGATATATTAAACATAAGTTTCTGTGAACAGTAGAGTAAAACAGCATAAGCATTTGTATATATAATTTATAGACTATGTAAGTATAAGGATTATTGCTTTATTAAACATGTTAAGATGGAAAAAATAGGTTGAGAAGGCAATGGATAGTTTACTTAATTTAAAAGAGAAATAGACTTGGTAGAATTGAAAGTTTAGGCCGGGCACGGTGGCTCACACCTGCAATCTCAGCACTTTGGGAGGCTGAGGCGGGAGGATCACCTGAGGCCAGGAGTTTGAGACCAGCCTGGCCAACATGGCAAAACTCCATCTCTACTAAAATTACAAAAAATTAGCTGGGCACGGTGGTGGGCGCCTGTAATGCCAGCTACTCGGCAGGCTGAGCAGGAGAACTGCTTGAAGCTGGGAGTTAGAGGATGCAGTGAGCCCATACTGCACCCACTTCACTCCAGACTGGGTGACAGAGTGAAAGTCTTTCTCAAAAAAAAAAAAAAAAAAAAGGGAAAGTTTAAAAGTTTAATCATTCCACATCTTTGTCTGCAACATAACAATCTCCTTTTACTCTAACCACAGAGATCTTATTGAAGCTCTGCCTCTAGCACTCTTCCCTTCTTGTCATATAATTCTCCTAATTCTTTTTGTCAGAATTAAATTTTTATATCTAGATTAAAATTTCACTGTGATAGCACCCATAAGCTTTTTACTTAGTAGAACCATAAACATACAGCTCTCAGAGGTAGTGAGTTATTCTCTATGCTGTGATCCTATGAACATCAATATATTATTATGCTATACTTATTTATTATAATGTGATCAAGTGAGCTGAACCAAAACCAAGTATTCATGTTTGATAAATGAGATTTGATGCCTATAAGATCATCATTTCCATCCACAAATCACAAAATCATTTCTGTATTTTATATCAGTACCATGCCATCTTTGTGGATTAGACCCATTGCTCATGCATTTGAGGTTTAACACATGACTTTTTGCACACTATCCACTCAGTACTAATTAAAACAAACATGCAATAAAAATACGCATAATGATGAAAAATCTTTCAGTCATTTAAGCGGAGATACAATCCTAAGCAATTCACAAATCTGATCTCAAATATATGTTTAGGTGAGAATCAGCACCAACATATCACCTCTTAACAAAAATAAAGAAAGACACTTAAGAAATGTTTTCCCTAAATAAAGAATTGATTACTCCTTAAGTTTTACGTCTTCTTTCTTGTGTTTGTTTCTCCAAAGGTCTCTATATGAGAAAATGAGAAAATAACTGATACTAATATTTTACTCCATTCCACTGTCTGGCTTATATCCTTTATATTATACTCCTGTGTTCCAAAATTTTGAAAGCTAATATGTGGTTTAAGTTATTTAAATAGACATAGTAGTACTCTCTAACAGTTTATTCTTGCTGAGAACATAAAGGAGAGAAATCTATTCTGGTGATATTTTTTCATGGAGTAGGAATCAGACATTTAAGTTTTATAAAAGTAAGAATGTAGTTAATATAGAGCATGATATACTAGTATAAAAATATAATATTTATATATAGCATGATATGCTAGTATAAATATATAAATATATAGTATATATAATATATAGCATCTATATAAAATAATATGTATAATATATAGCATGATATACTAGCATAAATACCTTTTTTTTGGAAAAAGAAAATCTTCATCTTCGAATGTAATTATTTTTCCTCCAAGCCAATAAATCCCCCATAACAGAAATAAGGTATCTCCTGGTTTTCTGGAGCTGACCTGGACTTGGCTCTAGCTCTAGAGGACATGTCTGCCTTCTTATGTCACTCTTTAGACAAAGCAGATAGGTGATCCAGTGAGAAAGGCAGTGAGACTGTTAAGTGGGCCTGAGAGGTTCTGCTTACAATTCTATTACACAACATATTCTTCATGCCGAGGGCATGGCTGCAATTTTCTAATGGTTAGAGAAAAATAATGAAATGTGTTCTTCTCATTTTAATATTTTTTGTGACAGGCTGTGCATGTGACCAATGGAAAAATGATTTTTTCTTTTTATTTCTATTGCCTTCACTTTATTTATAACAAATATTTACTGAGTGCCTATAATACATTCCGTTCTCTGCTAACCACTGGGTACAAAAGAGAAAGAAAGGAGACAGACTTCTTTTCTGGAGTTCATAGTCTGGCAGCCAGACAGACAATAAACTAGATAATTAACAAACATAAAAACAGAGAATATTAATCGTAACAGGCCGGTGTGAGAGAGATTTCCCTAAAAAAGCATTAGTAATATTGTTGAGAAGATATGAGTGTTTTAGGTAAGGATTTAGCTTCAGATACTCATTCTCTCCAGTTTAACTATTACATTAAGTCGTAGTGAAATAGCAGTAGTACAAACAGCAACCAACATTTACTGGCCCTTAATCAATGCCAGACACTGCTCTAACTACTTTATATGTATGAGATCATCTACTTATGAAGGTTACAATAAAACCATCCACGAAGAGTCAAGATAATAACATGATTGTAAGACAGACAAGGGACCCTGACTGTTTGAGTCAAGCCCCGCAGCTGCCAAATGCTGACTTGGCAAGTCACTCCACATTTCTGTGTCACAGTTTCTTCATCTGTAAAATAGGGGTCATAGTACATAATTTATGGGCTTGTTATGAGGATTAAATGAGACAACACATGCAAAATGCACAGATCAGAGCCTACCCTCTGTTGACAGCAACATCTGCTTTTATTATTTATTCCTCATTTTAACTACAGTATTTTACTACTAATAATACTGGATACCATCACTCCTGTTTCACAAATAAATAAACTGTAGTACAGAAAGATTAAGTCACTTGCTTCAAATGACAGAGCTAAAAAAGCTAACAAGCCATGTTGGAACTCCAAAATTTTGTTTCAAATATGCCCTGTCAACCACGAGGAAGTACGGTGTTTCTTCGGGCTCATCTAATTCTAGGTTTTCTGAACTGTCAAACCAATATAAAAAGTAAGAAATTGAATTGAACAAAATAGACTTTAAAATTTCTTTAAGCATTTTGGTCACTAAAAGAAACATCTTATACATACACACACACACACACACACACACACACACACACACACACACAGAGCTTAAGATATGACCTCTACTTTGCTGCTATAATCCAGGTTTTGGTAGCATGACCTTGTTCATTTTGTTTCATTTTGTTTCCTCAG